GGGCAGAGGTAAAAATGAGAGCAAAAATAAAGGAATAGAATGCCTGAACAAGGGCAATCACAGTAGAAAGAGGAATCCTTGGGTGATTTATTGTGCTTCTCTTTATTGTAAAAGCAGCAGCTCCTTCCACCTTATCTTCTCTGAAACCAGGGTGCTTCCTACCACGGATGGCGTCTTAGATGTGATGGCATGTGGTCGTTTCAGGGCCCCTCACCATCCTGACTGCTTCCCTCTGGGTGGTCTCTGCCCTCCTAGTGCGGTGTCCTGCCCACAGAGTGGTGGGCTGCAGCAGGCCATGGCCCCACCATTGTCAGGAGTGAGGGGAAGGGGAGAGGTGTGGTGGGCTCCAGCAGGGTGCTGGTGACAGCAGGAAATGGGGACGGGAGGCTCACTGATGTGATGCAGGCTCCAAGCCCTGCTCCCCTGGCAAGCTGCTGCCCCCCATGTGTTGTGTCCCTCAGTGACCTGGCTGGCCTCGTGGGGAGATCTGCATGGGCTAGGAGGGGGAGGACAGTCGCAGGGTGGGCTCTGAGCAGCAGGAGCGTCAGGGACCCTGGGCCAGAACTGGCTGATCTTCCTTCTCCCCCGGGACGGGGACAGAAATGACTCTTCACATGGAAAGATGCCTTCAGTGCCATGTTAGCCCAGATGACACTTGAGTTGTGGGGCTAAAAGGGAGATGCCAGAGGGAGGTGGGAAGGAGTTCAGGTTAGATTTCAGAGAACTTCCTGGTGGCAACGAAGGTGGCATAAAGCACCTACTTAGTATAAATACTGCAATTCCCTTCTCTGGAAACCTTGAATATCCAACTAGATGATGTCTGGGAGGCGTCAGTGCACGGCACAGAGTGAGTCAGTGGAACATATAGGCTTCATCTCATGAAATCGTCCCTCAAGTCCGAGAAGTAGGCACTATTTTGCTATTTCAATTTAAGCTGAGGAGGCTAAGGGTGGAAGATGTAAAGCCCGGCACAGAGTGAGTCAGTGGAACATATAGGCTTCATCTCATGAAATCGTCCCTCAAGTCCGAGAGGTAGGCACTATTTTGCTATTTCAATTTAAGCTGAGGAGGCTAAGGGTGGAAGATGTAAAGCCACAAACCGCCAAGGTCACTCAGCTGCTAAGAAGTAAATCAGGACTTGACCCCATCTCCAGAGGCTCTTTACCAGCAGGCAGCACTGCCCAGTCATGGGAGGCTTCAGGCTGGCCCTGAGAAGGATCTGTAATATTCTGGTCTGTTCTGTAGCTCTTTGTCAAGGAAAAATTGTCTACTTCTAGAGAGCTCTCTCTGGGCCCTTCCTTTCTAACTCCAGAAGAGTTCCTGCAAATAACGATCAGAGAGCTGCCACCATGGCTTGGTGGCTTACCATGATCTCATTTGATTCCTCTTCCCGTCCTTGGCCCTGAGCCTTTCCAACTGTGCTAAAAGTAGCACTGACCCAATCGCAGTCTGTCCTGGGGCCAGGACTATCTATTTTCACTCTGTCCTCAGGAATCATCGATCAGGACTTGACCCCATCTCCAGAGGCTCTTTACCAGCAGGCAGCACTGCCCAGTCATGGGAAGCTTCTGGCTGGCCCTGAGAAGGATCTGTAATATTCTGGTCTGTTCTGTAGCTCTTTGTCAAGGAAAAATTGTCTACTTCTAGAGAGCTCTCTCTGGGCCCTTCCTTTCTAACTCCAGAAGAGTTCCTGCAAATAACGATCAGAGAGCTGCCACCATGGCTTGGTGGCTTACCATGATCTCATTTGATTCCTCTTCCCGTCCTTGGCCCTGAGCCTTTCCAACTGTGCTAAAAGTAGCACTGACCCAATCGCAGTCTGTCCTGGGGCCAGGACTATCTATTTTCACTCTGTCCTCAGGAATCATCTGGTCTGAGACGTGTACAAGCTGGATTGCTCCCATGAGCACTCAGATGCGGTGCCAGGAATGTTCTGGCCGACACACCTGTTCCCAAAGTGAGGCTAAATGCTGTGACTCACCCCACAGCCTCCACCATGTGCCTCCTGAGATACTAGTTCCAGGAGGGATAGGTGTTGGGGACTTGTGCTGGGGTTGTATCCATAAGAGAACTGGCTCTTATTAGATCCAGTTTGGGGCAACACTGCCTTTTATAGCTGCCCGTTAGATGGGAGCATGTTAATCTGTGTGTGCATGACAGCCACTCAGAATGAGGGCCCTGCACCAGAAGCCTCCCTAGAGACAACATGGATTAGCCTTCCAAGGGAGGCTGGAGAAGTCCCTCCTTTAGAGGCCTTTAACAGTAGAAGAGATTTTCATCTGACTGGCTTAAATTTAAGACCTAGTGCAAGGCCCCGGCCTGGAATGCCCACCCCCTCCTCTACCAGAATGGCCTGGCAATTCTTCAAAGTCCAGTTGAAGTCCCACCTCCCTAGGGAAGCCCTCCCTGATCAGTCCAGCCCACCCTTCTCTTACCATCCAAGGGGTGCTTGGCATGAACTGCCCTTTAATAGAGGTTTTTTTTCTTTTTTCCTTTCCATCTAAGCTGTGAGCTCCTAACTTCAGATTATCTTTCACTTGCCTGCACCCAGGATGCTGCATACCCAGCATTTGTGGGTTGACGGCCCAGCACGTGGGCAAGGCCAGCCTCGCCCTACTCAGGAAACAAGTCTGCATCTCCTTCTTGTGTTGGTTCGTTCATGGGTTCCACACATGATCGTTGAACATTGATCTCTGTGCCTGTCACTAGTCTAGACGCTGGAGATAAGCAATGTCTAATAAGACTGGTCCGTGCCTGAGAGCAGCCACAGACTAGTGGGGAGACATATCACCCAGTAGTGGGCTAAACCCAGTTGTTCCCGGCAGGGGTGAATAAGTTGTCCCTGGGAGTCAGGAAGGGCCTCACAGAGATGTGATCTGTGACAGGTCTTTGCAGAAGCTCAGAAGGGCATGCAGAGGACAGTGGAGGAGAAGCGCTCAGCAGAGGGCAGCATAGCAAAGGCAGGGGCACCAAAGGTCCCAGTGTGGCCCGAGAGGCCAAAGGTCACCATATTTTTGCCATATTTTGTTCACAGACTGGCTGGCCGTGGACAGGGAGGCTGCTTGTCTCCTTTCCATGAATAGGGAGGTTGGGACCCCTGGAGCCAGGAGTAGGTCTTGTGCACCACCCCATCCCCAGAAGGAGCCAGACTCCCCGTGGGGCCTGCTTCTCTCCTCCCAGCCTCCCTCCGCTCCTTCCCAATTAGAGGGAAATTGGCTCCTGCAACACTGATGTGCTTTCCTTCTTGTTAGTGTCCTAATATTGCACGAGTCACAAATCCCAGCTGCCCTGGCATGGCGGGCAGGGTCGGAGGTGTGAATGAACACAGCACATGATCCTGATTGCTTCAGGCAGGGAGGCTGAGGCCACTGAAGAGGTTGCTTTCCTTTGTCACTGATAAGGAGAGTACTTCCAAGGCTGTTGATTTCAAATCTTTCCTTAGAGAGCTTTAAGCACCTTGCTGACTCCACCCAATAACAATAGAATGAAGTGCTCCCTTTTGCTGAGCACTTTACAAGTGCAATGTCACTAAATCATTAGATGACTTTATGATGCATGGTTAAGTGACATGCCAGAGATCTCATAGCTAGTCATAATAGAGCCAGATTGTGAGTCCCAACCTCTGGGACTATGGAAAGCCTAAGCACCACTTTCTATCACCACCACAATCAAAAGGAACGATCAGGCCTAAGGTTGCTGGACGGCTTGGTCCTCAGCCCTAAGAGCCACCAAATCTCCCCTAGCTTCCAGGACAAAGCACTGACCCATTCAGGTACTCTTCGTACCTCAATTGCATGCCTACTGGGTGCCGGGTACTGTGCTGAGGCCTGGGAAAGATCCAGAGATGCAGACTCCATTATCATGTAGCCCACCACCCCATGGGATCAGGACCCTCTCCCCACTGCCAGCCAGAATTTTCCCAACCTTTAATGTGACCTGTTCAGTCTTCCCCACGCCTCTGGCCAACACATATTTCTCCTTCTCCTAAGCTTCTATAGTGCTCGATACACAAACCACAGCCTCTCCTGCTTCGTTTTTGCTTTCTTTCACTCAGCAGGCATTTGTATGTCATTTGTGTGTGGCAGGCACTGGGGATACATTAGTGAGTAAACAGTGTGCCTCATGAAGCACAGTCTAAGGGAGACAAAACGTGTCATCAATGCATGGAACTATGGTGACACCTGATCCACTGATCAACTTACCGCCACAAGGACACTGACTCAGTCTTATAAAGTGGCATTACAAAGTAATGGGAGAAAGACTAAACCAAAACCAGAAAAATTGGTTTCCAAGCCGGTGCTACCATCTGGGTGACACTGGAGAAGTCATTCAGTTTCTTCTGTAAAGTGGGAATAACAATACCTAACCCACCTATCCTGCAGAGTTTTAATGACATGCTTTATTAAATGAAATTAACTGCATGAAAGCATTTTACAGATTACAAAGTACTATACAAGTAGTAGTTATCTTTCTATGTATCTGCTGTCTCCTAGGAAAGCCTCACATAAATCTGGACACATAGTAGATATTCAGTAAATATCAGTTAATTTAAATCGAATCAATTCATTCACCCCACTCACCACCTTCTGTGGGCTTTTGAGGCCATTGCGGATCCTAAGGCTGATGCCTGCCCTGCCTGCGGGGGCAGCTGTGAGGAGCAAGTGAGAAAGATGTGGAAATGCCTCAGGAGCTATCAATATCGAACCATATTGACTCTTGGGAAATGCCATGGTCCCCCCACTGTGGGGGCTGGGCTGAGAGCGGGGTGGCCCTGGAGGTGGAGCCGCAGGCATGGGGCAGCTCTAGGCCCATTCTCTTTCAGGAACAAACATTACACTTTCCACAGTTTGGGCTTCCAAACCACTTGAGCTGTCTACGCCAGGAGAGTGCCCATGGCATGGGCACAGCCTCTAGAGGGACTAGGTCTCAAGGGGACCAGGCCTCAAGGGGACCAGGCCTCATGTGACCAGCCCTCATGAGCTGTTCACCTCTCATTTCAGCACCCCTACCCCACGGAAGATGAGAAGAGGCAGATCGCAGCCCAGACAAACCTCACCCTCCTGCAAGTAAATAACTGGTGAGTTAGCATCACCTGCCCAAAGGCTCTCAGGTCCAGGGGAACACATAGCAGGGAAAAGAGACTAGAATGCCCAGTCCTGCCTCAGTCTCAGCCCAGTCACCATGCCAGTCATCCCATTTGGACTAGAAGCAGAAAGCCAGAATCAACACTGGCACCGGTAGCTTCATCTGCAGCTTCTCGGTGCCCTCTGCTGGACAATTGTGTGAGGAACATCCCTGGAAGCTGCTTGCTAAATAAAAAACTCAACCCCACCTGAGCATCCAGCCCACTTGCACTGCAGAGACAGACAGGAACACTAGCATCCATGGGCTGGAGGTGTCACCAGTGGTCATCTGGTCACCCCCACCCCCATGTGAACTTGAAACCAAAACATTCTGCAAGGCTGGAGTGGGAAGGAGGAGGAAGAGTCGCCATTTCGACCCCACAGGGATCTTAGCTTTCCCCTTCTCTGTTTGTGTCTGGCTGGGCTGTCATAGAGAGCTCAGAGAGCCAGGCCTGGCTGGATGCGAGTGAACCCCAGAGTTGGGACCCCTGATCTGAGCCTGTGGCCCTGTGGAGAGAAGTCAGAGATTGGTGCCTATGACTATGGCTCTTTCCTCCTCTGTTCAGTCCTGGTGGGTTTTAAGTAGGAATTTCTGACCCTTCCCCATGCGTTCTGTCCATGATACTTTGTGGTTACCATGCCCCAGGTGATTTCATGAACTCCTTAGTGCCTGGGGCTCTTCTCCCCGCCAGGCTTTTACAGCCTAGATGGGAACCCCAGTCTGCTCTGTATAATGGAGTCTGGAAGCAGCTCAGCCCTCTCTGCCCCCACTCCCCAACACCACCCAGGCAGTAACTAACCAGGTCTCCACCTTCTCCCCTGGGCAGGTTCATCAATGCCCGGAGGCGCATCCTGCAGCCCATGCTTGATGCCAGCAACCCAGACCCTGCCCCCAAAGCCAAGAAGATCAAGTCTCAGCACCGGCCCACCCAAAGATTTTGGCCCAACTCCATTGCTGCGGGGGTGCTGCAGCAACAGGGCGGTGCCCCAGGGACAAACCCTGATGGTAAGAACTGAGCTGGGCATACCCTAGACAGGTGCCTGGAGGAGTCCCAGAGCTCATTCAGGTCAGGCTGTGCAAAGATTCAGGGCTGACCGTCTACTCACCTGGGCCCCAGTCACTGCTCTGTCACAGTGATTATCCCTCCCTGATCCCCATCAAAGCTTTAAAGAAAGGGATGTTCCAATATATTTTAACAAGCCAAAAGCAATCTCACAGGGACGAATGGGAGTCAGCCATCTGAGTCAATAACTGCTCAGCAGGCCCCCACCCCCACCCCCACCCAAGTTCCTTAGCAGCAGTCAGCATTGCACAGCTCCCCCAGAGCCAAGGCCATCTATAAATACCGTGGCAGGCAGCTGGCTTGTGAACAGAGGCCAGAAGAGCTTTGTTTTCCCAGCTTCTCCATCACACCCTCCATATACACTTTTCTAATTGCCAGTCGCCTAGTGCACAATGAATAATTCAATGAGCCAGACATTTTACAGCTTGGCATGTGCAGACAGTTCTGTGTGGGGAGTGGGCGGAGGTGTGCATGTGTGTACACATGCTTTTGTGCACACGTGTGTACATGGCTGTGTGCAGATTTCTGTGCGATGGGCCATCTCTTATGAGGTACAGTGGAAATAAACTGATTTGGGGCTAGACCACCCTTGGACAGAATCCCAACTCTGTCATTCCTGACTGTGTTACTTTGAGCTAATGACTTAATTGTCTGAGACTCAGTTTCCTCCTCTGGGGAGTAGTAATACCTGCATTACAGAATTGTTGAAAGTCAGAAGTGCTTGACATTTTACATAGAAGATGCTGAGTAAGTGATAGCTAGGAAGGTTGCTGCTTGGGATGGGGCAGGGAGTGGCTGACAAGTCAATGGATACCAGGGAATGGTCCAGCTTAGGCACCCTTAGAAACAAGGAGCTTACCACCCTGTGAGCCAGCTCATTCAACCCTGTCCAGCACTGAGGTTGCTGGGCCTGAACAACACTTGACATTTTACATAGAAGATGCTGAGTAAGTGATAGCTAGGAAGGTTGCTGCTCGGGATGGGGCAGGGAGTGGCTGACAAGTCAATGGATACCAGGGAATGGTCCAGCTTAGACACCCTTAGAAACAAGGAGCTCACCACCCTGTGAGCCAGCTCATTCAACCCTGTCCAGCACTGAGGTTGCTGGGCCTGAACAACAGCCATGCATGGTCCTGACCTTTGCCTTCTTCATGCAGGCTCCATCAACTTGGACAACCTGCAGTCCCTGTCCTCAGACAATGCCACCATGGCCATACAGCAGGCTATGATGGCTGCACATGACGACTCATTGGATGGGACAGAAGAAGAAGATGAGGATGAGATGGAAGAGGAAGAGGAGGAGGAGTTGGAGGAGGAGGAGGCTGATGAGCTGCAGACAACGAATGTTAGCGACCTGGGCTTGGAACATAGTGACTCCCTGGAGTAGCCGGGCAGCCCAGATGGCTCTGATCACCGAGCAGGAGAGGAGTGTCGCCAAGAGGGCTCAGGGTGGGGGGAGGGGACTTGGGCAGGCAGCACCGAGGAAGTTGGGCCCCAGCTTCCCCAAATCAGTAGCTTGAAGAAATGCAGAGGAGACATCTGCCCCTTCCCAACCACCAAGCTTCAGTGAGCTCCCAGACCCACTCCCCTGGAACTGCAGAGGACTCTGTTGGGCAGGGCCACTCAAGCAGCCTGTATGGAAAGTCAGGAGTGAGATCTGGACTCACCGAATCCCTGAGGACAGATGACACCCATGGGCCCCCCATGGAAGGACTTGAGTTGTTTACAAGCCCTGCACTGTGAGATGGATTGGTGCTGTTCGCAGAGTGAGTCTTTGCCAGTGGACAGACTTAAGAGGAAAGGGAGAGACAAAGGGGGCCTGGGCCCTACCCCCAGAAGGTTCTCAGCCCCTTTGAGAGACATTCAAGGGCAGGAGGGAGCCCAAAAGTGCAACCAGTGGCCAGAGGAGGGGGAGAGCCTGAGGCCTCCCATCTTGCAGATCAGTGAGACCTGGATTCCACAGGGCTGCAACTCATCCCTCCAAGGCCCTATCTCTGGGTGCATCAACCATGGACTTGGGAGAGATGGGTGGGAGCCAGCAGAGCCTCCTTTTGTCTCTATCCTGGAAACAAATTGCAAGCTAGGGGCTCAACCTGTAGGAGGTCAGAAGAAGTCCTTTCACCTGGGTTGGCTCCAGGAGCCAAGGATGTGGCAGAACTTGGGCTGGGAGCCATACCAAGGTGACTTTAGGGATCAGAACTCAGCTCCTGTAACAACAGGACAATGGTGTCTCACCCTAGATGTTCCTGCCCTCAGATGGAGCTCCTCAAATGCTCCACCCCCTCCATAGACCTTCAGAGAACGTGGAGCCAGGTTAAGTTGGAAGCTTTCCACCCCAGAGGCCCCCCCGTTGCTGTCCCTTTGCTCCCAGGCTGACCCCATCAACCTCCAGCCTCCCTTCTTCATGCTATCCTTCAGAGAAGGCAGAAGAAACATTGGAAAGAAGCATCCAGCCCAATGGGAAGCCAGGGGTTGGAGAAGGTGCTACATCCCCTTCCCATCAACATCCATAATGTGGGGGACAGCCCAGAGAAATGGCACCCAAGATCCTGCAGTAGTGCCCCACCGCCCTGCCTGGCCGTTCTCCACACCAACATGCACAGCGCTGGAGGAACCGGGGCTCCTGGGAGGAGGTGGCTTTCCACTGTCTGCCCTAACGTGTGTCCTCCCACTCCAACTTCAGGCCCCCATGATTGGCATCCCTCCTCCTGTTCCCACCCACCCCTGTGGCTGTGAATGACAGGACTGATCACACATGTGTTTTCCATTGGATTTAATTTAATGGACGTGCAGTTTCATTTGTAAATTGTGCATTAGCCATCTCCTTCAGTGGCAGGGTGTGAGTGGCTACCTGGCTCACCTAGAGGGGACCCTCAGGGCCCTCTAGGGCTTCCCCTCCTGCACCTGGTTGGGGTGGAGCAAAAGGGTGATTGCTTTCCTGAGGTCTCCTTGAAATGAATGTATTTCTCCCCCAAAAGAGCTGATATTTAATGTTTTAATAGGGATTTTTGAGAAACAAATAACCTTATTTATAATCTGGGTGTTCCAATCATTTTTTTACGCCCTTTTGATGCCATAGGTAGAGGAAAGTCTAGCTTTTTTGGCGTGAGACTTTTGCAACACGCAGTGGGATAAAATGCGTTTCCTTTTCTGGTTCATTTTTCTTGTTAGAGAACATGCACACCCTTCCACTTACCACTGACAAGCATCCCACCCTCACAGGCACATCGGCACACACGTGCCCGCGTATCTTCCTCCCGGCCCCTCCTCCCGCCTAACGTTATGCAACCTCCTTCTGATGTATCCACCAAACCAGTACTGAAAGCATCCCACCCTCACAGGCACATCGGCACACACGTGCCCGCGTCTCTTCCTCCCGGCCCCCTCCTCCCGCCTAACGTTATGCAACCTCCTTCTGATGTATCCACCAAACCATTACTGAATGTGGCAGGGAAATTTTCAGTAAATCTTATTACCTACCATAATTCTGGTGCGCAATTCTTTTTCTGTGGTTCTGTAGCAGTCGCTTGTCCCTTTAGTGGGACCCTAAGCCAGACAAAATTTGGAGGTCTCTGCAATGCACCCTGTTGAACTGACTACCCATGTAAGAGAACAAGGTCGAGGGCTTTCTGCGTGGCCTCCTTGGCCCTGTCTGGGGAGGACGATAGCAAGTTCGGCGCTTACCTCGTGTGTGAATAGCTCTAGACAAAGAGTAAGTAGGGAGAGGAACAGGAGGGCGCTCTACACTGCCCTCTGCTGGCCGTTCCCCTGACAGCAGCGGAGAGCCCTGAAATCGGTGTCTCCAGGCTCACATACTCCGCCTCCCTCAAAGGCTTTTCCCTCCCGGAGGGTTTCCATCACCGAAGCTGGTGCCACCTTAGCCCCACCCCCAGCCTTCATATGCCCAGTCTTCACTGCTTTTAATCTTGGAGCTGTGACCGGGGTGGGGGTCTGCCCTTGAATCCCAGGAGTCAGCACTGTACTCCCTGAGGCAAGAAGAAATGCAGGGGCAGCTTATCTCCCCACCTAAGTGAGAGGCAGGCTTTCTTGTCACCTGCTGACTAGAGGATTCCCTACCTGGGCACCGTTGCTGAGACATCCAGGGCATTGTTTAGAAGCAGGAGGAGAGTTCCTTGTTCACATTCACAAAGGCTGGAGAGCTTACTCTTACCCGAGGATCCCCTATGGCCGAGCCAAAGATGGGAGGGGGGCAGTTACACAGGCACAGTGGGCACCAAGCAGCTCTAATGGAGGTCCCTTAGTCGCTGCTCTCACAGAGCCCCCTCACCACACCTGGAAAGAGTTCCACAAACGAAGATGGAGAGTCTCAAGATCAGAAAGAAGATGATGTGTTAGAACCTCGCCTCCCAGAGTTGCGAAGACCGTGGTCTCTTAAAGCAATTGTTTCCAAGGAACACCAGTTAAAAGATACGCTACCAAAAAATAAATAAATAAATAAAATCCCATGGCCAAATTAGCTTAGAATTAACTGCATATTATATTTTGCTAGTAGAGTTTTATAAAGCATATTAGTATAGTAAAGGCTCTGAAAAGTCCTGGAGGAAAATCTGTTTAACTTTGTTTCAGCTGTTCTCAGATTTATTTGCCCTTTTATCTTTCCAAGTAATATCTACTCAAGTTATACCAATATTTCCCAAGCACACTTTATGGAACGCTATTCTAAAGAAATACAGGGTAGCCTGCTCCAGCCTCTCCTACCCTCTCCTGAGATTTTTTTATCTAGTTCTGCCATCTTTTCAACCTCCTGCCAACGAATAGTGGGTTTTCTAAATCATTTGAGATGTGGGTGGATGTATTTTGAGGAGGCAACAACCTCTCTCTGTGCGTGACCCACACGCTACCTAACCCAAGGGGATGTGCCATAATCCCTGCAGAAACAAGACAATGAGACAAAGTTGGGGGTGCAGATTTTCTTTACCCCAAAATGGATCTCATATCAGAGCCCTGGAAACTGTTCAGACCACCTTCTGTCCTTGACCCCATCCATTGGGAAAGACGGTTCAGGTCTGGAGATCCTGCTCATGGGAGTTGATGTCCAGAGCTAACCATCCTTGGCCACCGAGCCCCTCTGCTGCCTTGCATGGGGCCTGATACTGCAGCCTGCTCAGACTCATTCCTAATGATCTTTCGACATGCATTTATTGAGCACCAACTCCATCCAGCATGTTGTTTTAGACACCGAGGATACAACTGTGGTCCACAAAGATGAAGTTCTTGCCTTTGGGGAGTTTATATTCTAGTAGAAGACTGAGACTGAAAGGTGCTTGTAACATCCCTGGAATGGTTATAACTGTGATCTCATCCTGGGACAGTGATCTCAAACTTTATCATTCAGTTGCAAACAGGAGGCTCTCAGGTCAAACATGGTGTTTAAGTCAAATTCAGCTTGCAGACATATTTTCTTTTTTTTTTTTTGCTGGCTGGTACAGGTAACAAACCTGAGACTCTGGTGTTATCAGCACCACACTGTAACCAGCTGTGCTAACTGGCCAGCCACAGACATGTTTTGTTTGGATCATATATTGTTTTTAAAAATTTTGTGCCAACATTTAAAAGTTAAAGATTGCATATTTTTTAAAAACTGGATCCCTGGTTTATCTTTAAAAATCAGGCAATCAGGCAACTCTAGACCTATTTTCCCACATAGCCACGATTGGGTGCAGTTGAATTCCTGCCCCCTAGGGTGCCTCTCCACGTTATCCTGACATTCACCACTCTGGTGGCCTCCCCAGCACGGAGGCTGAGGGTCAGTTGCCGTTTATTATCAGGTTGTCACTATTTGACTGGCCTGTTGATTAGTGATGCTTCCCTCCTCCTCCCCCCATTTTTTTGACCTTTCCCTCTAATATCTGAGTTGTTGTGTTTAAGAAGGAAAATATTTCTTTACACCCATTACTCCAACAAGAGTGAAAAAACAAGATAGTCCAAGAAAGTCTTGACTTTGAAACAGAATGTTGGAAAGAACATATTTGTGGAGGTGAAGATACTCCTGCCTTTCCTAGCAAAGTGTACCTGTGCTCACATACAGGTATCTTCACTCATAGGTTACCTGTCTACCTGGCCTCTATAAGCAGTCATGAGCCTTGGGGTATAAAAAATGACCAGGGTTGCTTGTTACATATGTGGGTTAGGTCCCACGATCAGCGTTTCCCCAGATACCTAGGCAGGATGCCTGAAGACTTTGAGGAACATTGCTCTGAGAAATAGTTCGCAATTGTCTTTCAAAGTCCCTTGCTTTATAGCCACTCCCTGTAACTTTCCTTTGCCATATAGACTACAATCCCATGAGCCAGTTACTCATTCGATAAGCATTCCCAGGTGCCTACTGTGTGCCTGGCATCATACTGGGGACAAAGGATAATTTGACTTGGTGGAGCATCACATGCCAAGGATTGGAGTCCCAAAGATAAGCAGAGAGAACGCGGATGGTACCACGCTCTGTGTGTTTCCACTTTTGCATCTTATTTCCATCCCACAGATGAGACAGGTTTTATTACACCACTTTCAAGTGTATCTTACACTTTTATATTTCTCAGCCTCTCTCTGGGCCAATCTCATTTATCCCCTTTGCAAATTAAATGCATCTCATTAAATCGAACCCATTTAGGACAATGCCCTTCAGGTGTGTGCATTTTAGTACATCTTTCATTTTAAGACAAGTGTTTGATTTATTTTTCATCTCATTGCACTCTTTAAAATTATGTGCATCTCATTACACGCAGCGCACTGAGACGACTTATTTCAGGTGTAGACATTACACCCAGTATTATCAGGCAAGAATATGATTTTTTTCATTTCATTACAAGCCTTACAATTTATGTACATCTCATTACAATCAGCCATTTAAGACAATTCCCTTCAGTTGTGTGTATCTCATTATACCTTTTCATTTTCAGATTTTTTTTTTCATCTTATTATTCAAAGAACTCACTTCAAGTATGTATATCTCATATCTACCTGTTATGTCAAGTGAATTTCTGGGTAGTTGTTTTCACCATGAACTTGCAAAATTTTTGTTATACCAAACTCGTTTAAGGCCAGCTCTGCCCACCTATGGGCCTCCCCTGACTCCTTTGCATGGAAAGAAGAACACTGGGTTCCCATAAGTGTGGTAAGATTCTGTCAATGACTTCTCCTTACACACGGGGACCATCTAAATCAGCCTACCTCACTTGCACATTGAGGGGATTCGAGGAGATGATCACTATGGTTGGTTGATAGTCCACAAAACTCTAGTCCTGTGCACAAGAGCTGAGCTGGTTCCCAGCTCCTCTTGGGGCTGCTGCTCCTCTCCCTGGACAGTACCCACCCCTGGAGAAGCTGAGATTGACATCACTGCCCAGCTTCCAACAGCCAGAGCGCTTCACACCACCTGTTTCCTTTTTGAATGGATGATGCTGCTTGTCCACATGGGGACATTTTGGAAGAGGGTGAAATAACTTTGCTCTCCTGGGATGGAATCTCCCCAGCCCCTCCAGGCCCAGTGGTGTCTTCATCTCTCTTCCAACACCCTTCCCGGGGATTCTCAGCTGGGGTGCACCTTAGAATTGCTGAGCAGGCTTTTTGGAGTTGCAGGGGCCCAAGTTTCATTCGCAACCTGCTAAATCAGAATCTCCCAGGGAGGAGCCCAGGTAGGTGCATTGTTCATAGTCCCCCAGAGACTCTGAGCCTTACCGAGCCTGAGTCCACAAAAGGGTCTGAGGTTTAGTCGCTCTAAGCTGAAAATGCCTGATGCACTCAGGATTGTCCCTCCCAGTTGTATTTGCATCTTAACAAGAACCCAAGCCTAGAGTGAAAAAAAATCCTTTCTCAGTCCTGGATAGGGCAGTGTGGGTCAGTAAACCCAAGTCGCCCACACTATGTGGGAATCCCATCCACAGCACACGGTAAATTGTCATTTGTCTCTACCTCACACTGCCCCCTGCCTTCTAGGGCAAAGAAGTCCAAACTGCTACACAGAGCCAACTGACCCCTCAGCTTCCACCCCGTGATCTGCCTT